TGTCGGTCAGATCTGGACGATATCTCCAATCGTGTGGACTTCATCATCTGTCTCGGTGGAGATGGAACGTTGCTGTACGCGTCTTCGCTTTTCCAGGTATCCACCTAGAACAGATCATTACAGAAAACCCCACAGTGTCTATATTTCCCACCGCTACATCATCTAACACGCTTGTATTTCCTTGCAGGAGAGCGTCCCCCCAGTCATGGCCTTCCACCTGGGCTCTCTGGGCTTCCTGACGCCGTTCAAATTCGATACGTATCAGTCTCAGGTCACGCAGATCATCGAAGGTCAGCGAATGTCCCCCGACCCGCCCGTCGCCGTCCCGCAGCGCGCCTTCTTTCTCTGCGGATCCTTGCGTCATGCATTGCTCACGCATGCCTCTGCCTGCAGGAAACGCCGCCATTGTGCTGCGAAGTCGCCTGCAGGTGCGAGTGCTCAAGGACAACTGGGAGAAGAAGGACGAGAAGGGCATCATCCTCACCAATAAGGACCTGGAGACCAGCCACAAAGCCATGCAGCATCAGGTACGTGACGCGATTCCTGCACCGTAATTAGGCCAAAGCGGCTTGCAGTGTTGTCCCCCCCCCCCCGCCTGGAGGGCGTTGTGGTTGTTGTTGGTCAGCGCGGTGAGCAGGGTGTGACATCAGCCAACAGACTCTCCAGATGCATATTTCAGGTTGGCGGTCGGTGTCGTGTCTTCGCTGGCAGCAAACGTGATCCTGACTCAGGGCCACTTCATGTCAGCCGCGCACATGGAGAGGATTTTTCCAGAGTTGACTCCCCCCCCTCCCCCACCGTCTGTGTGTTTCAGGTTCTTAACGAGGTGGTGGTGGACAGAGGACCCTCCTCCTACCTGTCCAACGTGGACCTCTTCCTGGACGGACACCTGATCACCACGGTGCAGGGAGACGGTGAGCGGAAGGATCATTAAGCTGACACCGTCATTTATTTATTTATGGGGTTTTTTACACTTTGAAAGCAGTAGGAATATAATTACTAGAAATTATGTTATTGTTGAAAGGATAACGGTAAGACAGAAAAATTCAGGTCACACAAGAAAGCCAAAAGGAAGAAAAAAAATCTCAAAATGTACATTTATTTAGTTCATTTTGAACTCTTTAATTCCCTACATATGAAGAGACACTATTTTGAGCGTCTTTGATTGCAGCTGTGCCTGTGCACCTTGTGCTTCCCTGAAACACCTTGCGTCTCTGTTTTGCCTCAGGTCTGATCGTTTCCACGCCAACGGGCAGCACAGCGTACGCGGTGGCCGCCGGCGCCTCCATGATCCACCCCAACGTCCCGGCCATCATGATCACCCCCATCTGCCCTCACTCCCTCTCCTTCAGACCCATCGTGGTGCCGGCCGGAGTGGAGCTCCAGGTACGTGTTCAGCAGCGCCTCCTCTGGCTGGAAATGGAGCTGCGTTCTCATTTTTTTTAAAAACCCAACAGAGACGGGAGGAAGTGGGGGAATTTTCTAGGGGAAAATGTGTTGTTTTGTAATAGGTTAAAAATGAACTAAATTCAGATGTTTGTTTTTTATTATTTTTTGGCAGTTGAAGTTTAAAAATAAAAAGGGAAGAAGAACAAATAGTTAAGTTTTTGCAGGAAATGGATGCAGAGAAGTGTAGCGTTTATACAAAGAGGTAGAATTATGACTACTAATAAAATACCTTGCAAAAATAATTAATACCCCTTAAAGTATTCTTCACATTTCATCACATCGCTGCTATGTTTTGATTTTTATGTGATGAACAATTGCAGGATAGTGCATTGTTAAAAATTGTTTCGCATATAAAAATCTGAAACATGCTTCATACATTTTATGTTCAGCCTCTTTACTTTGATCCTCCTAAATAAAACCCAGTGAAGACAATTGGGTTTGGAAGGAAAGTGTTTAAAGGGACGACGACGTTAACTAACTATACTGGGAAACCGTCTCGCTCCATCAGCAGACTGGTTCATTTTCATCAATACTAATTATCGACTCAAAACAAGCTCCTGCATTTTGCTGGAATGTTATTTGTAAGTTAGTTTAGCATTATTTCAGATGCACTAAGGTATTTGCACTAGAAGCTAGATCCAAAATACTCCGTTTTAGATTTTGTACTTTTGCACTACGGGGTTACGATCGGCTGGGCAAACGTTTTCTCTTCTTCTAGTTTCTGGTCTTTACACTCGACGGCACGTTTTGGTTGTAAAAGCTGCACCCGTGTTTCTTCGAAGCGGTTTGAGCATTTCCTCCTTCCTCCTCTCCCCTCCTCTCAGATAAAGCTGTCCCCTGATGCCAGGAACACGGCCTGGGTGTCGTTCGACGGCAGGAAGAGACAGGAGATCTGCCACGGAGACAGGTCGGTCCGCACGCCGCTCACCATCGTAATAAACGGTTGCTTGAGTATAAATGAGTGAGAACTGTTGGACGGACAAGGCAACGCTCAACACTCAGGCTCTGTTACATAAACTTATCAGGCTCTTTAATTGGCTTGAGTCACATTCAATCCCTCTCTTTATGTAACATATCCAGATGTAATGACCTTCCTGGTTGTTGTAAAGAGCTGCAGTGAAAAGCCCAGTGTTGCTCAACAGGGGATTCCACCTCGATGTCTTTCACATCAGTGGCCACTTCTTTGTTCTTTTTACTGGAAATATTCTTATTTCCTTGTTCTGCTCTCATTTGGACCAACCTTTTTTTTGTTTGTTTTTCTTCCTTCATCCCTATTCCAGTATCACCATCACCACTTCCTGCTTCCCCGTTCCCTCCATCTGCTTCCGAGACCCGGTGAACGACTGGTTCGAGAGCCTGGCCACGTGTTTACACTGGAACGTGAGGAAGAAGCAGAACTACCTCAGCTCGGAGGACGAAGAGTTCTGAAGGACCGCTGCTTTCGCCCGCCGCCGCCGCATTTCCAGGAATTCAAAGTGCAGTGATTTTGGACATGTAATCCAAAAGGAAAGCAGCACACTGCAACTCTTGGGTCGGCGTTGAACCCAAACGGACGGTCGCGTGGCATTGTAGTACTCTTGTTGGTTTGCTCCGAAACTTTTTCCATATTCAGGGAGACATGATGTTTTTTTGTTTTTTTTTTGAAGGAAATCAACTCTCTCTGCTGAAGCAAAGACCAAACTACACTAGAGTAGAAAAACTCCAGTTCATGTTTAACTAAGAAGAACTAATGAGATCTTAAAAGTTGGTTTAGCTGAATCCAGGGGCCCAACTGTGCACAATGTGCCTTAAACACTGCTATCATCAGCATAAAGTGATATTTGGAGGTTACCAAATTTGTGTTTTTTGGGGGGGTTTTCTACGTAACATTTGCCATGTTTGAATTTCCTGTTGGCAGAACTGAACTCATGGCTGCGTTTTAGTTTACTGAATCAAAGGAGGCACAAAGACGTTGCGAGCGACTTCTTACTGATGTCTGGTTTTAAAGATTTTTCCTTTAAGCATCCCCCAAACATTTTAAAACCTAAATATTTTTAGACTGATGTCTGTGGGCTCTGCGATGGTCTGTGTGTGAATGTTGAGGGATTGTTGCAGCCTACGCAGTGCGTTCTGAAGGTGGCCTCCGTTACTGGTCAGTCGGGGCCTGCCGACCGTCCAGATGTCGGTTTTAAATCGACTCAACAGATCAATCATTCCTCTTAACCCTGTACATAAATGTAAAACGCTAATAAGCTGTTGTTTTGTATAATAATGTTTATTCACAGGTTTACAGTGTATTATTATTATTGAAAATAAATCTATTTGCTACTTTTTATACGCCGATGATTTTGTCACCTGTTGATTTTTTTGTCGACGTGGAACCAGTCTAGTGTCTGACGATCCGTTAGAAAAGCATCCAGGACAGATGAGATTTGTCTGACTTTTAACAGGAAAGAGAGCAGCTGGTTCGTCACCAGTGTTGGTCTCAGCTGTTCTCCGTTAAAGTGCTTTTCACTTTTGTAACCAAGAGCCTGCAACTCTAACTTTTGTATTGGCAAGTTTGATAAATATTTCCAAGAAGCTTTTTTTTTTCTTTTTCCCCATAACACCTTAATAAACAAAGTTGAAGCAGGAATGGTTGTCTTTGGGTTTTTTATACATTTATATCTATATCAGAATTACTCCTGGTGTCTTATTTGCTTCTGTACACAAAATGTTAAAGTGTTGATACGTCTCAACTCAGAAAGTGAAACCCGTTCCACATCATTTTTAAAGTTATGATTATAGGCGAGTTTATTCTCTTCTGGTCATTTTGATTGTGACTTATAGCTGATGAAAACTGGTTAAGATTTTGTGAGATTTCTGTAACAATGGTTGCGGGCTTATGACTTTTACGCCTTCATTTTGATTTATTAAATGCGGAGGGGTTTTTGCACATTACATTTTAACACATTACATTTTTACAACTCCGGCTTGAACCTTTGCATTCACACGTTTCGAATACGCCAAGTTGTTTATCAAAATTGCTAAGAAATTAAAGGAGGAAGGATTAAAAATGTTTACTGTTTGGACTGAATCTTAGACGCCGTCGTCGGCTTTTCGAAGTTTGAGCTCAAATTCTCGTAGAAACCCTTCAGAAACGTCTCAAATTACAGCAACATTTACAGACGGATAAATGAGGAGCCCTGGTTTGGTTTGGAGTTTTATTAAGAATCCAGTGTATAAAAACATCGAGCGCGTCGAGGTGCAGAATGACGTTAAGAAATCTGTGAGTGAGCAAAAGTAGCACATGAAACAAATGCAAGTCAGTCCATCACCAGTGGTTACTCATTTTACAAAAAATATACCAACATCCAGTTTATATATTACAGTGCATCTTACAGTGAAGGTACAAATAGAAATCTCTTTGCGGTTCCTTAAGGAACAGAGCAGATCAGTGGAATGCTTGTAACGCAAATAAAGTCCAACAGCAAAGTTCTGTTGAGGCTTAGGTGAGGGAAAACAAACATAAATATAGCACTTTTAAGTCACAAATAAAATTAGGCAAAAGAATTTCCAACCGAAAAGAAGCCTTTGGCTATTTATGTGCCGATTATCCGTACTTTTAATCAGGCTAAAAACAATTTAGATTAGAAAACAGCTTAGCACAACGACCGATTCGAACGCAAGGTATGAATGCAAGTACAAAAAGCTGATTTTTCATCCTGTAAATAGACAATATGGTGAAGCTAAATTTAGATAAAACAGCTCATTAGAGTTAATAAGTGTGTAAATGAAATGCTTGGTCAATGCTTTGGTAGAGTTAATGCTGGATAAAAGGTGGGAGCTCCACATTCATCGTCCCGGTTGCAGAAGCTGCAGCGAAGGTCCTCCATGCAGCGGCCAGCCGATGTGGAACCTCTAGCTGGACGTAAACACTACGAGTGAAAATACATGACGGCATGAAATAAGAGGCTAGATGGGAGATTCTTCAGAGCTGGGCTTAAATAGGTTAAAGCTCACTTCTCTCTCTGAGGCCCTGTCCGAAGCTCTGCACCAGCCTGATGAGGCCCCACAGTAAGACGCCTTTGATCAGCAGCGAAATCAACGCTCCGGTGACTGTGGCCGCCTCCAGGGTGTACGTCTGGTCCTGGAACCACTTCTCTATCACCTGGGAGAGAAACGAGCCACGAGTTTCTGCGTTACTTCGTTACATCTCTGTGTTTGCCTCTTGCGGCTCTGACTGTTTCCAGTTTTGATTGCTGAAATTTTCAAAGAGAAAACATTTCTCAGATGTGAGGATACACGTCCGAGAACTAGGATGTGGTTCCTTCCTGTGCAAAGAGTTTTGCAGGTAAAGCCAGTTTTTTTTTATTTATTTACTTGCAGCATGTAAAGGAACAAAAGAGACTTTGGAGGAAATTAGCCAGACGTGCTGCCAGAAGTGTTTCAGGAAGGCAAAGGGTGGGATCTGCTGTTCCATACCCGACTTTGGGACTTTTTTTTTTTTGTCCGTTTACTGCCATTAAAATCCTCAAAACCCTTCATAATAAAAGTGTTTAAGGAGGACCTTCGGGGTAGATTTACCATCACAAACAGGTTTTTCTTGGGAGCAAGCACAGCCATTCTCTAGAGGAGTTCATATCTACGTACCGAGTACAACAGGTAAATGAAGAAGGCCACTTGAGGAAGGTTCTGTACCATGAAGACCCAAACCAGGACCTTGGCTTCCTTCAAAACCTGAAAAACAGTTCAGTTGTTATTCTAGATCTGTCGGCTGTGCAGAAATCTGCGGCCGCGTCTCTGACTCCGGCGTAGAGAGCAATGCCGCTGGAGTTTTAGCCTCATCTAGATGCATCCTGCAGGTGCTCAGTCAGATCGGGTCCACACTACATCAGTACTGGTAGGAAAATACAGAATATCAGAAATGACTGAAAAAGCTGAGAACTGACCCTTTTCAGCAGATTTACTGAATTATTCATCAATTTAACAACATGTTTCCATCAGTCCAATATGGTACATGGAGGTTTTATGTGATAGGAAAGGAAGTCAGTGCACACAACTCTGTTAAAAAAAGGGGGAAGAATAGACGGGTTCTAAAGAGCTGCAAACATTTAGGGCTAACCAACACTACCAAAAATATTCCTAAAATTTAATACGGGGCAAAACTAATTCAAATCCAAACCGCATCCCGTTTTCTCCCATATTAAATTTTAAGCATGTTTTGGAGTGCTGGTCACTTATCAACCTTGCCACACTTTCCAGATTTGCTTTTGTAGAACAAATTCAAGGCAAGATATTGAAAAGTCCTAGAAGTCTTTTTCAACATTTATCATCCTGCAGCTGATCAGCGTTCCACATTTTCATCACCATCATCATCATCATCCCCTCTCACCGCAACAGCTCCGACGATGGCGGTGACGAAGGCCCAGAACACTCCGACTCCCAGGATGATGGTGTTGGCAGCAGACATGGCGGAGTCCGACGTCGCGATCAGGATGCACAGACACAGCTGGAAACATCGCACAGACACATCAGACATGACGCGGCGAATTCAGAAAGAGTCCAACGGTGAGCTACATGTGCCGTATCCTTGTTTTCTGAACAGGCATGCCACGGAACCAGAAGGATGACGTTCGTTATACATTACTGCTGTGACCATGTTTGGGTTTCGTAGAACCGCAGAGTGTCACACGTGGCACGTCCACGAACCTAAACTGGACGTCCAGAGGCTCTCAGGAGCTCTCGGGTTTAACCCGCCGAGGTCTTTTAGTGACAAACGAGCAACGCTGAGGAAAAAACAAGCCGAGGAGGCGGTTTAATCCGGCACTCTTACCTGAGCCTGCAGGTCAAAGGTCACCATGGAGAAACAGAGGTTGAGGAGGAAGTACTGCTCCTGCATGCTCTCCAGGGCCCCGCCCACACGGAACGCCATCATGTTGGGCCTTTGGATGAGGAACGTGGTGCAGAACACGTGTATGAAGCCCAGGCACATGATGCACACGAAGCGAGCCTGAAACACAAACGGGAGCTTTGAACTCCGTCGCTCCGGTGCGCTGGGTACTCAACGATCCGACTCAGGCATCCCGGTTTCCTAAATCCCAGCTTTCATGGTGGGTTTGGTGGCTTCAGGGTGTCTTACACCAATGATCACCAATCATGGTGTTCTGCACATAGGTCATAAAGTTAAGATGTTAGTCTCACCTGAATAATCGTCAACTAATTTAGAAATCAACTCATCGTCAATTGAAGCATACAGATAAAAAAACTTTTTTTTATCGTTTCTTTTTGAACAACAAAAATCGAATTTCCACAAGAGAATGAAACAAGTATCAGTACTAACATGACCTGTTTTATTTTTCTCACCATTACGTTGGAAACCGAGTGCATCGATCAACGTCCAAAAGAGGAAAATTGATCAGTTGTGTTTTAGAAATGTTTTATGTTTCTCTTTTGATTTAAAACCTCAAAACAGAAAGAAATAAATGTGCATTTTTAAACTTCTGCGGACAGGCTCTGAGAAGTCGCCGTCTTCCCTGCAGCAGTCGGAGCCACCCGAGTTTGGAGACGCAGAGGTCACCCAGGTGACTGCCTACTGTAATTAACACCGACTGCTAATGGCAGCTCTACATGATCCACATTTAAAAGAAAAAAATCCTAACTATTCCTTTAAAGATGCACGTCTGTCAATCTGCAAGCGAACAGGCAGAGCCCTGCAGCCAGAAATGCCAAGCATGCAGCGTTTCCTGGAGCTCTCTGTTTGTGACGAGCAGTCTCCGCATGAAGGGCGGCGACTGTTTGTCACAAACAGATTGAAAATAATAAATTAAAAAAAAGGTATGTGTCAGATCGCCATGACTACCACCAGATAAATGGGCAAGACGAGACAAAAAGATCAACCTGAAGTTTTTAAAACGCTCAAATTTCACTTTAGATCCACGCGGAGCAACAGCGACGCCAAGTGGAAGAAAGGAGACTAGCAGCCCGTTCAATGATGAACTGAGAACAGGATGTTGGTGACGCTTTAATGAAATTTTAATTCTAAAAATAAAACTGTGCCATTTTAGCTCGAATACAGTGTGAAAAAAGTATCTGCTCCCTCTTACAGAGTTCTTCTGTTTTTTTATTTTTTTTGTCAGACTCCCATGTTTCTGACCATCAAGGCATTTTCATACCAGCAAGTCCTCTTCTTTAGGCCAAAAATAGTGAAGGTTTTGCTATGGTCTAGTCAAAGTCTAGACTTAAACCACTTAGTTAAACCCCCCAAAGTGGTTTAACTAAAACAATTCTGCTAATAAAAGTCGGTGAAGGTTCCTGCTCAAGGCTGACAGGAAATTCAATCGTCATTTGAAAACTGCCTTTTGCATTTACTCTGTAAATATCTGTTAACAAGCGTGAATAAAAAGAGTAAAACCCACAACAGGCGGTAAGGGGGGGAACACAGTGAAAACTCAGCGGCTGAGAAACGAGCTGCACGTTTACGATGGTCCTAACAAAGAGCCTCCAGTCTTCAGACAGACGGCACGAAGTTTCTTCTGTCGAACCAGGTCGTGATTCTGACTAAAACAGAAAACCTGCAGATGTTTTCATGGCTGGGTTAACTTGAGACAAGTTGCGATGCAGCGCTGGCAACATTTACTAAATGAAGTTTAGTCACTTCATTCACTGCAAGCCGTTCTAAGCTTGTCTCGGGTCTCAGCCTGTTCCATGTGTTCCTCAGACATTTCCACACAGCAGCTCAGCAGAGCGCCGCTCTTAGTAGCTCACAAGCCGTGATGGCTGCAATCAGGAGAAGGAAAAAGGTGAAGACACAAAAAGGTTCAAAGTGAGAGAGTGTTTTTGTAAAAATTGCATTCTCTTTTTGGGTAACAGTGAATTTCACGGTAGATGCTCGTTATTTAAAACTGGCGTACTGCGAAACGCACCGTCACCCAACCGTGAGCGTATAGCACATTTACATGGCATTTATTCACCAAAAACACCTTTTAACATTATGTAAACGGTTTCTACACACTGGGTTAAGTTTGGTAGGGTTTTCGTTCAAAGGTGGAAGTTTTTCCGTCTACAGAAAGTGGAAGTATCCACTAACTGAATTTAAATTCAGCTTCATGTTATTTCTAAGATATTATTATTGTTTGTATCCGAATCAAACTCTGCCGTCTGCCTCGCCAACGTCGTCCATGTGTCGAGTCTTGCTTGCGCTGCTGACGTTGTCACGGTAACAAACTTGAACTCAGTCTTTTGATATCCAGAAAGCGGAAAAATCTTTAGCCACACAGTTTAAATATGTAAATATCTTCATATTTACCATAATTCACAGTTCCTCGTGGTATGAGAATAGTCAAGAAGTATTTTTATAACATGGAAATACTCAACCCAACATGAATCTCCTTACTTTTATTATACAGAAGTACATGTTTTTTCTTGTGTTTAGGAGTTCTTATAAAATGTTAAAGAAGTTAATACTTCTCCAGATTTTCTAAAGGTCTTTGATTTTAGTGTCAGTCAAATAACTGATGATGCTCACACCAATGATTTTTGTAAAAACACAAAACACTAACTTGTGAATTATCAAGGCAGAAAAAGAGGCTGTGGGGTCTAAACTTATTAAAGAAGTGAATTCAGCGCAGATGTTTGGACTCTTTCTTACTAGCAGCTGATCCACAAAGAGATGACTGGATCATCAGATAAATCCAGAGACAGATCCAGGCTTGTTTCTGAGACCTGATGCATCTCATTTTTGTCCTTTACTTCCCCCCGTACACTGTTACTGTAATGTGTGTGTGCTTTAGAAATGGACAGGAAAATTCAGGCGAAAAACTGTCACAGACAAAGAAAGAAAACAAAATCCCAGAAGAACACTCCCTCTGTAACATTACACTGTTAAACTATAAAGTTTAATAAATCAGGGGGAGAAGTAAAACCAAAAATGTTTTTAGATGTTCGCTATTTAAAACTGGCGAGTTTTACAATCGTCCACTGTTTTTTGTTTTTAAATAACCTGTTTAAGATTAAGCCACAACATTTCAATTGGATTTTGCCCCAAATGTTGTCTAGTCCAGCCGAAGTACAAACATTTTGGTTTATTTAAGCTATTTAGACGATCGTTTGCTGTTGAACATCTAAGCTAAACGCCACCAACTGATGGGCAGATGTTGTTGTCCAGGATTATTTTTCACCGATTTGGCTCAGTTGAATCACAACCACTGGCCACAACCAGGCCAACGAGGTCTGCAGCGCGTTTTAACAGGACTGTAGTGATGCTTCACGAATGTGTTAGAAAACAGCCGGAAGCGTGGGATTCTGGGTAATCAGCTGATGGAAACAAAGAGGACAACATTTCTCATAGAGATGTGGTTTGCCTGTTAACGTTCTGATATCATCTTTTCTTTCCTTATTTACCCTCTAAGCTGAAGATGATTTATTCATGTTGACAAATGTGATACTCCCAGCCTTAACGGTGTGTTCAGCGACTCACCAGCACCTCCTGTTTGCCCTTGGAGCCCACCACGGAGAAGTTGACCACCGATCGGATCATGACCACCAGCACGCTGAGCACGAACGCCACCAGCTCCTGTCGGTTCTCCTGCAGCACGCCACGGCTGATGTAGTAGATGCAGAACACTGAGGGGAAGCAGAGGAGGAGGAGGAGCTCTCATCTTTTATGTTTGAGAAGTCGATAAAAAAAAAAAAAAAGAACGTCCCTGCTCGGTTCGCCGTCCTGCTGCTGTCTCGTAAAGTTGCGCTGAAGGTTTTTCTGGTAGTTCGTTCTGTTTGACTTCTGATGAAACGTGGTTTTGAGAATCTTTTGCAAATGAAAATCCGAAATCTGTCTTCAACCCCCAAAGCTTCAGCTTCACACATCGAGATCTCATTTGGTAATAATGAATTAAAACTTTTTCACTCGGTGAAATGATATGTAGATTATATGCAGATGGATGTCGGAAAGCATTTTTTTCCTGTTAATTATGATGATTTTCCACTTACAGCTAATGAAAACATGACATTTTAAATTAGAATATTACATCAGATGAATAAAACACTATTCTTAAAAATGTGGGCTTAATGAAAAGTGCACTACTTAATATTTGTTATTTATTTTCAAAGAACTTTTAATCTGGAAAGCGAGACTCTTCATAACATTGATTATAATTCATTGAACATGACTGTAAATACCAACTAGGTTTCTTCTAAAGATGCTTGGTTGCAAATAATGGTTTTGTTTTTAGTAACCGATTAGCCTATTGATTATTCTTTCCTTTCCAGTATTAGAAATAAATTAAAGATACAAATAATTTAAACAGATTCTTAAATAAAACAAATAAAGATTTTATTGCCTAAAAGGCAACAACACAGCATCCCTATAGTTCATTTGATAAAAATAGCAACTTTAGGAGTTTTGGGCAAAACATATCAGCAGACAAAAGTATTTATATCTTAAATGCAAAATGCACATATGTTTTGTACAATTTTCACTTAATTACTGCTCTGAATATGTTTCTTTTTTACATTAAATTGCCTTGTTTTGAGTCTGTATATACTACAGTTGAATAACCGATTCATCAAGATTCATCTGATCAATCGTTTCAGTCCTAAATGCAAAATACGAGGCATTAAAACTATTTCGTATACAGTCAAAGTCAAACACGTGGAAGTTTTTGGTAATAATGAATTAAAACATGAAAAATGTTTGAGGTGTGAATACTTTTACAAGACACAGAGAACTAGTTTATGCCTATATTTGGCAAAAGTTGATCTGGACGTCAGAAACTAAACTGAACCAGTCGAAATGATCCAGCAGCTCGTTTCCATGAATGTCATTAGTGTTGATTATGGTGCAGCATAAAACAAAGAGCTGAAACTTAATTACTAGAGCGCCACTCCCCTCGAGTTCCTCCTTTAGACTGCTGTTCATCCTGGACTTTCGACTTTGCGTATGAAAATACAATGGCGGCGCTCGTCTCCACCATTCTGAGTGCATAGAATAATTTACTTTTATGATGCTTGTTCCGGTTTCACTGTGAAAGTTTACCGGCAGCTCGGGGTTCCTGATGAGGACAGCGGAGAAAGAGGAAACTGTCGTTCCAAGCAGACTTGGAGTTCAGTTGTGAGTTTAAGTTGGCTAATCGAGTTGAACTTTTTGAGCTTTCGAAATGAGTCTCTTTGCTCCAGTCTCTTCATTTGTGTGTAAAATAACCTCTTTGCGTCACTGCAACCAGATTCATGAGGAATTATTTAGGATGCGGCAAAGTAGGCTCTTGCTTTGTGGAAACCAAAACGTAGAAACCGAAAGTGTTTGTGGAAAACGAGGGCAGTAGAGAAGTGAAACTTCATTCTGGTCTGAACGGGCGGATGAATTTTTTTTTTCTTTCATCAGAGTGAGCACAGGAAGACACCAGCGTCCCTCTGTGTTCACCTCCTCCACGGTTTGCACCACACGATTACAGCAGCAGGACTTGTGTTTTCAACTCCGAGCGGAGGCGATCGCAGCGACCGCCCCGCTCCTTGGCGTCAGGCAAACGTGAAGCACTCACATATCCCGACCAGCTGGATGAGGGACACCGTGAAGTTGTCCTCGTCTGAAACATCAGTGTTTTTGTGCTGCTTGTAGATGCTGGACACGGTGAGGCCGAGCAGCGCCAGCAGGGACACGATGGTGAAGCAGAAGTAGGTCTTCACCAGGGCGGACAGCTCCGACCACGACTTTATCTGCAGGACGGAGGGGACGGAGAGTCTGAAACGGGCCGTGAAGGGGGGGGAGGGAGACTGTGTTGGTGTAAAAGGCAGATCTGCTCACCGGTCCACATGGCGTCGGAATCAAACTCTGGTGTCTCGGCCTCAGGTTCGGAGACAGAAGATCTGGGCTCTGGTGCTGCTGGTTGGCCAACAACGGACTGAAAAAGTCAACACATTCTGAAAATGTCAGGTTTTCTCTTAAGTAAAACCTTAAAAAGGCAAAAAAAAAAAAAAACTTGTAAACTCTTCTTCACTTGAGCAGAACCCAAATTAATTGTCACTATGTCAGAAAAGCATCATGGTAAATGGACAGAACTTAAATTGTGCTTTTTCTAATCATTTTGACCACTCAAAGCGCTTTGAGTGGTCAATTTGGGGCACACCGACATGTGGCAGGAGGAAGCTGGAACCAAACCTGCAAACTTCCGATCACAAGACGACTACTCTACCCACAGAGCCACGGCTGCCCTTCAAATCATAATCTGATATTAAGGTTGAATAATACAAGCCCAGTTATGACGAGTCCATTCATCCAACATGTGAACACGTTGCACTTTTATATATTACAGCTTACTAAATATTGCATCTACACAGTCATTCTAGATTGCTGTAGAAAACACAGTGTAAAAGTATTCACCTGCTTTACAGATTTCTGTTACCAGCTGCCAGCAGTGGCGCAACTGCACATTATTCAGGTGGATGCGAAAACATAAATCTGACAACTTTGGCATTTTTATGCATGAATGTCTAATTCAGTCAGAGATACTTGAGTGGTTTAGAAAATCCTTGGGTTCCTAAACATTTTTCATACCCAAAGTTCAAGCTTTATTCTAGACTTTTCCAAGATTGGAGGGGTCCGGACCCCCTTAAATCCCCCCGGGACTTCCGTCCATGGAAAGTTGTAAGAAAATCATAGCTATAGGTCGTTATTGTTATTATCTTTAATAATAACACTTTGATTAGAGGACAATTTACACTATGTTTTTCTTACATATAAAGAGACTGTATTACACGAGTCACATCTTTCTTTATTTTCTTGCAACACTCCCAGTTCCTAAAACCACACGTTTAAACACACCCTGGACTTCCTCATGATTTCAACATTCAAGGAATGATTTCCACATTCAACGATGACTGAGAAGAAGACATCTATACGTGTTTTAACGTAGTTTTTAGCTTAATTTCCATCCACATGACTCCCATTTCCCTACAGTACAGTCTGAATTTCCCAGCTGACTGTTTCTCACTGTTTATATTCCACTGAGCTGCTGTGAGCGGTTATAACTTGATCATAGGAAAACAAGACGACATCCACAAATATCCGAACAGTTTCTGTCTGATATTTACTCAGTACGCAGCAGACGTCATGACAAAATGGTAAATAAATGCATAAATGAAGCTCCTGACCTTGTTTCGTCCATTTCCCCACGGACGAACCCGGACTTTACATTCCTGCGACCTGTTTTAACCTCCGTGACCAACCCCGATCTACTCGGGCTTCCTTTAACATTTTACTCCAAGATCCACAGGAAAAACTCTTCGTCACGTTTTTTTTTTTTTCCTGTATTTGTTCTTCCTCCACTGCCCAGAGGTGCTCCTGCCCCCTAGTGGACACAGAGAAGCAGTACAATTCAATACCGTGCAAAAGATTTAAGATGTAATTTAATTATGTTTATAAATTGTTAATTTATAAATATAAAAAAGTTTATACTTTTTCGCCTCCACTGTTAGAACTTTGAATTTTTTCATACAGAGCACAATGGCCCAATATCAAATATTTTCCAAGCCAATGTTACTTATCAATGTCCAGACAATTATTTTTTACAATACATTTCTAAATATTTTTATTCATACATTACAAAACGTAGCTGTCCTTACCGAAGAGACATTTTGGTTTAAAAAATAAAAAATAAAAAACTCAAGGGTATGGATAATTTTTGGTTTAATTGTAAAAGTAAAAAGTAAAAAGGCAATAATGTCTAGTGAACCCTTGTTTGAAGCATTTGCAGGGGTGAAAATAAGCGGATACAGTCGGGTACTGCTTACCCCTAAAACATTAGGGTTCACTGTGCAGCCGTTGTGAACCCACTAATCAGCCATGACTGATTAGTTTTTCAAGAACAATCTAAAACACGACTTAATCGGTTAACAAATAGCTTTTTCCCCATTTCATTATTGTTTCTGAACTGTTCGTGCTGTTCGTGAGACCCACACGTCCTCCTCTGACTCGTTGTTTGGTGCTGTCTGGCATCTTGTTTTGAGCTCAGAGTCTGAGAGGCTTTTCTTCTATCAAACAAATGTTTTTGTCTCTTATTTAGTGGAAATATTGATGTTGATGAGACTTTCTCTAAAATGATAACCTTTTTCAACCTTTGTAGCTCCACTGTTGAAAATGAGGCACTAACATTCACAAATGACATTGAAACAAAATCCAGTCCAACTTCTGGTTTGAGGTGATTTCTCTGGAATCTGTTGGAGGCAAAATATCCCAACTTCAGGAGATGTGCTTTTAACCTAACAGAGCTCTGTGGTTCCTCCTGTCAGTATGAGAGTCAGGGTGAGGAGGCGCCATGTTAGGAAGAGAAGTGGAAGCTGCAGGATCTTCAGAACAAACAAGTCATGATGCTGGGCTACTGATTACCCCTCTGTCTGGACACAGGATCAATAGAACCAGTTTAAAAGATAAAATTAATGGTTATATGACAGACATGGAAAACTGGGATGCACTCCATGCCATAATGTTCAGGATTTAGGTCTCATGGCATCTCAAGGTTCAACATTGCAGGTAAAGGGTTGAGAGAAATACAGCTTTATTTTGTAGCAATTCAAGAGCTACCAGCTTTTATCGCTTCGCAAAAAAATTAATCAGCACAGAAACTCCAAAGCACACAAAGAAGCAATTTAATTCTAAACATGAGATGGGTACATTTCCCCCTGCTGCTATTGGCCACCACTTTGCCTTTTTGTCAGCTTTAATCAACATTAAATTATGTTTGATTAGCCTGAAATGCATCAATGTTACCATTTGTGTTATCGGGATTTTTAAACTTGTACTTCCAACAATGTGTTTCTTATGCTGTTTTTTGTTTTGTTTTGTTTTCTTATTATGTATTTTTTGGACGTCATCATAGTTTTTTTTTATAAATAATAATAAAAAAAATAAAGAAATTGTATCATTAAAAAGAGTAAAATTATTTTTAAAGGACAGTTTTACGCTTTTACTGCTCTCTAGTGGTCAATACGTGGAATTATAATATATTTTTTGCTAAGATGCAAAATACTTTACATTTTTTAGACAGTGATTTAATTTTAACGTCAGATAATACTTTAGATTCAGATTAGGCATGATAAATTAGAAAAAAATATATCAAAAACAAATGTCGGGCATTTGACTTTCTAACATTGCTGTGACAAGTTGTTGTAAACTGTACCGGATGTGAGTTATGCTGATCACAAAAATAAAAGCGCTTTGACTTGTTTTGTTACGTTCAACTGACTTTATAGCATTACACATTTTTATTCTGAACAAAACATGTTCTGGTGGAATAATAAAATGTATATATTTAATTCAGTGATTTTCTGTTAAGCAGTTACCTTAATTTAAACGGTTAATTAAAATATCATCACTTCCTCTCTCTTTCGGCTGTTTGACACAAGCTTGACGCAGCGTGTAATTTGCTAGCAGCCACGTCTCAACCTAAGGTGCCTAACAACCTGTTACCTTCAGTGAGCCGCACGTTTTCTGATGGGACCGAGGTTGGGTTTAGTTACTGCTCCGTCATGTAGTGTAGCATAGTAAACATGGCGGGTGCTTTATTGGGAGGAGGCACTCCCTTTGTTGCAGAAAACAAAGACAACTAGCTAGCGTTAATGTGCAGCTTCCTCCTTTGGAAAACCTCTACAGAGCAGCTGGCTCTGCAGTCAAAGCTGAAGCAACCAGATTTACCCAGAGGTAAGAGCTTGGTTTCTGGCTCTAAGGTTTTTATTACCGAAAACGCCAACTGCCCTCATTCAATTGCTATTTTGACAAGTTCCGCCGTTAGAACTGGGTGTAATTCCGTACTTTGGTGTTTAACACTCAAGCTTTATCAAAATATATGATTGTCGGTTTACAATTGTATTGTTTGGTCGCATTCTGATTTTATAAGTTTCATAAAGCCAATAAATACAAACATACAGTAATAACGTGGGGAGGTGCTCCTAAAATTCACTTTAGTAGAATTAACGACACAAGAATTTTCAACGACTTCATTAGACGAAGGAAACGTTCTGCTTTAAATACAGCTGTCAACAAAGCATTTCAATTGTTTAAAAAAGAAAAATGTCACCCTGAAAATGATCTGTGTTCACGTTACAAAAGCTCGTGTGCTTTTCTTTTTCATATAAAAGGAAAGACAAATGACACGTGGTCCATACATTTTACACAAAAACAAATCTGGCAGTGTGGTTTACATTTGGATTCAGTTCCGTTATTAAATGCACACTTTATTATATTTCAGTGTCCGTACAGTTGCGGATTTTTTGAGTCATGTCTTCCAGGCTGACACAAATAGAAAAACTAAATGTTGTATATTTTTCTTCGCAAATTTTAGAACTTAAAAATATAAAAACATGTGTCTTGCCACACATTCTCAATTTGATTTACAACTGGATTTTGACCAGACCATTCTGACACATGAATAAGCTTTAATTTGAGCCACTCCGTTGTATACCCAAATCTATAATTAGGGTCAACTTAAAGAGGGAAGGTGAATCTCTGTCCCAGTTTCAAGTCTTTTGTAGCCTCTCATAGGTTTTCGTCCAGGGCTGTCCTGTAATTAGCTCCATCCATCTTCCATGGTTGTAATAACAGAAAAGACACGTGACACGTGGTCCATACATCTGTAATAATAATAATAATAATAATAATAATAAAAAGCATCCCTCTAGGTTGATGCAGTGTCTACCTTTTACTGGGGGAACAGATTGTTCAGGGCACACCACACTTTTTTTTTTTAAGTTTTTTTTTTTTTCGTGGCCTTTATTTGATAGTGAATTGAGAGGAAAGTGGATAATGAGAGAAAGGGGAAGGCATGTAGCAAAGGTCATCAGTCCGGACTCGAGCCTGTGCCATCAGCATCGAGGACTAGGCCTCAGTATGTGGGATGTGCTTTTACCCTTGCGTCAACACAGCACCCCAACATATGTAAGATATTTCTAAAAAAAAACAAAAAAACATTCATCCTTTTCCCTCAGCATCACAATCGTGCACTACTTTTTCTGTTACATATATCCCCCAATAAATTAAAGTGTGAGGTTGCAGCACAGCAAAGTATGGCAAATTTAAGGGGATATTAATACTTTTGTGTCATTTTGTTTTTTTGTGCATGCGAAAATTTTGTTTTTACAATTTCAATTAACAAATTATTTTAATTCCATCACAGGGAGACTCAGGAGGCTCATGATTTCCATTGTTCGTCAGAATATGAACTAACCATCAAAGCCGCTCATCAGGTGCACCAGTCCCCCCGTGAATCCACCCAGTCAGCAGGTGAGATGCAGGGCAACAAACAGCCGGCCAAGCATTCGCTCTGGCACTTCCTGTCGCCGTTCCACACCCGGCAGGAGCGGGTGGTGCTGGCCCGGAGCGAGAGCCTGCCGGGGGAGCAGGTGCTGAAGATCACGGTTACAGAAACCACGGTGATCGAGGCGGAGTCCGGCGTGTGGAACTGGCGCTCACTGTCCTACCTGGGTCTCTGGTACTTCTTCAGCTTCTGCACCCTGTTTCTCAACAAGTACATCCTGTCGCTGCTCGAGGGGGAGCCCAGCATGCTGGGTAAGGAATGAGTTTAAACCTGGCTAATCAGTGCTAAGCTAACACCTTGCATTTTATTTATTTATTTATTTATTTATTTTTACAAAGGATTTTCTTTTTGTTCTGAGGAACATAAGTTTGAATCAATGTTCAAGCCTCATCAAAATTCTCAGTTGTATTTAGTTCTGGACTTTGACTAGGACTATGGTTTGATTAAGGCGACATTTGAAGGCATTTGATTGCACTGGGTTTCATTCATCGGCATTAGCCAGGGTTTGTATAGGTGCTTGAAAGTCTTAAAAATGCTAGAATTTCAACTTGGAATTTGGAAACTGCTTGATTTTCTACCTGCACAGTTTTGTAATAAAGTTGTAGTAACCACTTATATTATGCCAGCCGCGAGCCGATTTGTTCGATGTAATGAATATTTATTATTATTAATAGTTCAATTAATTATTGATCTGTGTCATTGAAATAAAGATTGTCTTATATGCTATATATAAAAGTTATTGATATTGGAGGATTTATTTGTTGTTGTTAAATTTGCATTTTATTCTCACACCGAGCTGTACAGAGTGTGTGAGTGTGAGAGAAAATTTTCAAAACATAAGATTTTGTTACATTTCAGCTTAACTTCTTCCTGCTGTGTAGAACACTGCTGTAGTTGACCCATTTTCCCTTTTGTGCACCACCCAGGTTTGTTTACCAGTTTGTTTACGCTTCGGTGTAAATTACCTTGAGACATAGTGAGATTTGTTTCAGCATAAA